AACTTTGGTACTGTTAAGCTTGCTGACCTTAGTTGACGACCTGATACTGGTGACTTTGTTTCTGGTGTACGATTTATAGATACACCCGATATGAAGAGTGTTGGTGACTTTGGAATACCTGTATCTGATTCTATATCAGCGGATATATCGTTATCAGCACTGTCTTCAGAATGACTGCTGAACTTTTCAATTCTAATATTCAGTTCAGGTTTGATAGGTAGTTCATCAGGAGTTTTTGATTCCTTCTCTAATGTTTCATCTGATGTGTCCAGGGCAGCAGTTTTTCCAATTTTACTTAAACGTTTGGGCAATGTGATGCTAGTGGRTTTAGATGAGTTTTGCCAATATAGTTGAGCCAAGATATTGCACAGCTACAGAAAATAAATAAAATTAGTAAAATGTAACGCAATAATAATCATATTACATATACTTTTTTGTCTGAACTTATAGGAGCAGCAATGTTGCTGTCATCCAACGAAGTGACTGCACGGCATTCACCATTGTTATTAATTTCCATAAGAATGGAGGCAGTTCTTCTGGGTAATACTTGAAAGCCGTGGTTTAGTTTTCCACGTTTTCTATCTATTTTATCTTGTCTGTCATCACTGTTCATATGATACACATTAACACAGTATCTAAGCAAAGAAATCAAGTTATAAACAACTTGTCTGAGAAATAAATTGCATACAACAAACAAACCTTCGGTTATTTTTGTACAAATCTCTACGTGAGAGTAGATCACCAAAAGACAATGATCGCCTAAGGTTTTTATTTTCCATACGACTGTATATGTCTTCACTAAAATCTAAATAATAACTATTTTTGTGCAAATCACCTACTTTAAATACACCATCATCAAGTTTTATACCACTACATCTGAAAAAAATTGTTTAGCTAAAATGTATAATTTTGTACACCATAAATTGAGTTCAATCATTAAACAAATATATTACTTGGGTAAGACAAYCGGAATATCTGTTTTTAAAAGAGTATTCTCTGGAATATTTTTTGAAAGTAAATTTGTTTCATTTTCGTCAGTAGATTTTGATGAATTTCTGGATTTAGCCATTGCAATTTCATCTAAAGACAACTGTAAAGCCATTTGCAATTGCTGGTCGTCATCATTTGAATCATCAACAACTTCTTAAAAATTATATATGAATAAAAAATGATGAATTGTTTTTTCAATAAAACTAGGTTAAAATTATTATTCACCTGAATAGTTTTTGCTACAACTAGCTTCTTCAATCTCTGATCTATAGACAAATATTAATTTTAATAACAATAGTTATAATTTATAATTAATCAACATAATTAAAAAATGAYAATGTACTTTTTCTTTAGTTGAACATCTTTTATCATTTGAAGTCTAGACATTTCAAGTGCAACAATAAGGTCCATAGCAAAAGTACCAACAATACTTGTGCGCTTTTCCTTTTTTCCTATAAAAATAATTAGTAGATAAGTAGTTTAATCCAGAATTATTTTTATTATTACATCAATTAAGTAGCAAATACATTTATTTTACTTACGCTCTTCTAACAAAGTTTTGTGAGTATTTTTGCATCTTAAGCTACAGTATTCATGGAACTTAGATGTTCTAGGATTCCTCACTCTTGCTTTTTTACAGTGTTCCATTTTACATTGGCCAAACACACTTACAGCTAGAGCTCGATCCAATTCAGTTTCCTWGTTTTAATAATTACAAATAATCAAATGACATTTAAATACAAACTAATCTTAATTTTCTAACCTCTTCTTCATCTGAACAACTTTCAGGCCAATCTAATATAGCGGTTAGGTTACGATGTCTTCCTTTTGAATCTACAATCCATGGGTTATCTGGATCAATTTGAATTGAATCTCCAATTGCTTTCTTTAATAAATCCTAGAAATCATTTTGTTTATTTATCAAACCTTTACTTCTGGGATTTTTATACTCACTTTAGCAGTAGCATTTATATGCTTTTGAGACATGGYGGTTGATTTTGGTTTGATAACATTTGGTGGAATAGAAGGCATGCTTTTTAAGGATATAGATCCATCTGATATGGCATTAATAAATTCATGGCGTTTTCGTCTTAATATACTAGTAGTATTAATAATGGCACTTCTTGGATTACATAAATATTGTCTTAAAACCATTCCGGATAATTTTTCAGTAACTTCCTCAACTTCATTCTAAAGCATAAATTAGATATATTTTAAGGAAATTGCAAATCTGATGATTTTAAATACTAAAAACTAAAAAGTATAAAAAAAAATTTTAAATTGAATATTTTTTTAATAATTAGTTAATTTTAAGTTTTAAACCAATTAATTAATAACAAAAATTCTTTAAAATGTACCTGCATAAACTCCAAAATATTTCTATTATATGCACTATACAGCATATAAAACCCATACACATACGATGCACACAAAACCCGTTTGGCTTTCTGCACTTCAACAACTGCATCTTCTACAAATTTTGTGCGTTCGTCATCTATATGAATAAGAATTTCGAGTTAATATTTTATTGAATACAGAATTTATTAATTTCTATACCTTCAGATATATTTAATGCAGCTGAAAGAGCTACTCTCCAATTTTTGACAATTTCTACAAACAGTTCTTCCATTGTACGAGTCACTTCGTGCTTTTTAAATTTAGTATAATAATGAAGAAATTTGCTTAATTCCAAACTTTGCTTATTCTTTTGTTGAGCCTATGAACAATGATTACAATTTCATATTAAATATTAAATAATTGATAAATAGTTTKAAATAGTTAACTTGTATGTAAATATAAAAGGTATTACAAATGTAGTTTTTATTATAGGTTGTTAGTAGTGAACATTTTGACATGTAAAGAACGGTATTATAGTTTTATTTAAAAATTTAAAATTTGAATTCTTGGGATTTCCAAATTTTCTTCTATAAATACTTTATAACAAGACTATTAAATGTTAATCAGTTGCTTGATATTAGCAAGTCTTAGCAGTTTATTAGACTGCCATTAAACAACTATCGTAAAGTTTTTTACTATACTTACATTTAATTTTGTTGATATATCAAGTCGCCATGCAGATAAATAGGCATAAGGATCATCAAATATTATGAGTAGATCCCCCCTCAACCCTCGTCCTTTTGACAATTTATGTTAATAACATTAATTTGAATAAAAATTTGTGCATAATATGCATCTTTAATAATTTTAAATTTCTATAATAACTAATGAGGAACTTAGTATTTGATTTTTAAAGTTTTTTGACCAAACCAAGTTTTGTAACATATAGGGAAATAAACTAAAAAATTTCAAATTTCAAACTTCAATAGGTATATATAATCTACAGTGAGTGTAAAAAGTATTTGTACACTCCGTATTTTTGAATAATTACACACTTTTCTTTATAATATTTTATTTTTATCAATAAACCAACATTCACATAGTAATTGATATATGTATTACTAAAAAAATCATGACGACAGTAATAATCATAATAATAACAATAATAAATATAACTGCATTAAATATTCGTACACTTCAATTTTAGTGATAGAAAGGYYTATTTACTCAGAATAATATTATTAGAAAACGATAAGATAAACGTTTACCCATTATGATTACCCCCAATTCCAATTCAGTTTGCTTCGAAATATTGTTGGAATATCATTCTATTACGAGATGGGTAAAAAAAAATGTGAAATAAATAAAACTGAACGTGAACTGATTTTGAGATTCCATAATCAGTGCCAATCATTACGTCAAAAATTGTCAATAGAGCTCATAGTACTGTAAAAGATGTGATAGATCGATTCAGTGAGCGTAAAAGTCATGAAAATAAGCGACGGCCTGGTCGGCCACAAAAACTTTTGGACCATGACAAACGTATAGTCATACGAACAGTTAAGATGGATCCAAAAATTAACGCTCCTAAAATAGCACAAAATATTACAAATTTTTCAGGAGTACATGTTAGTGAAAGTACAATTAGAAATTGTTTGAAAAACAGTGGTTACCATTGTTGAATAACTCGTCGAAAATATTTTGTAAATAAAAAAAATAGACAAAAGAGGCTTGCTTTTGCTAGTGGCAACTTACATCGCTCTATTAATTTTTGAAACAGAGTAATATTTACAGACGAAAGTAAATTTAATATTTTTGGCTCAGATAGAAGACGTTTTGTGTGGAGAAAATCAAATGCAGAGATGAAACCAAAGAATTTACAACCTACAGTTAAATACGAAGGAGGTTCCGTAATGGTTTGGGGCTGTATGAGCGCTCAGGGTGTTGGAAACTTGCACTTTATTGACGGCATTATGAACCAAGACATATACATAAATATTTTGAAGTCACATCTTACAGCAAGTGCTGAAAAAATGGGCATCAAGGACAATTTTGTGTTTACATAGGATAATGATCCCAAGCACACTGCAAAAAAAGTCAAGGCTTGGTGGTCTAAAAATGTAACAGAATACCTTGTTACACCACCACAATTTCCGGACATTAATCCTATTGAGAATTTGTAGACCATTTGGACAAAAAAATTCGAAAGCATAATATTTTAAACAAAGTAACTCTAAAAAACGCTCTAAAAGAGGAATGGAATAAAATAACTGTAGAAACAACATCTCATCTGGTTGATTCAATGTCTAGGAGACTGAAGGCTATATTAAGGTCCAAAGGCTACCCTACAAAATATTAAACAGAATTATGTAATGATTTAAAAATATTCATTTAGTAAAAATTATTGGGTGTAYGAATATTTATTGTAGTAATATTTATTATTATTATGATTATTACTGTCGACATGATTTTTTTTTGTAATACATTTAGTAATATATCATTTACTATGTTAATGTTGGTTTATTGATAAAAATAAAATATAATAAAGAAAAGTGTATATTTATTCAAAAATACAGAGTATACCAATACTTTTTACACTCACTGGATATTATATAAMTGAAAAGGCGTCAGAATATTTTGAAAATATTATATCATGTACAAATAGAAAGTGGTAATTTAAATTTTTAACAGTTGAGGAAAATGTAAAATATCTACAGTTATTAGTTTTTAAATCATAAGAAAATATAAAAAATCTATTCATTACTTTAAGTTTTGAAAATTTTAAATATCGTATTTTATTATTGTTTAAGATATTAAAACACATTTTTTACTTAAATAAAAAAATAATTCACGATTTTCAAAATAATACTTCTATATTAGTACTTACTTCTTTTACAAGAAGGCCACGTTTTTCATCAGCTTTACAAACAGCATTCATACGATTACAACGAAAGAAACCGCCAGTAGCTGAACCATGTTTTTTCCAGCTTTCTTGACATATCCAACAAAATTCAAACTTACACTAAAATAAAAAATAAATTTTTAATAGCAACTTTGAATTATTGTAACATGCAAAATTATTTTAATTAAAAATTTGTGAATGTAATGTTTTTTTTTTTTAATTAAGTTTTCAAATTAAAAATTACAATATATACCTTACATAAAAATGTAATATTTGTTTTATATTCAATAAAAATTATAGTGAGTATTGAAGAAAATTACCTTTGAACATTTCATATGATTACAGCCTTCATTTTTCTGTATAGGTGAGTTGCAATTTGGACAGGGTTTTGAGTTTGTGACCAACCACAAACTATTAGCTGCTTCTTCATACTCTGCAGTTGTCTCGCGTATCTTATCTGGTTTAACTTCAGATATTTTAGTCATCCACTGAGACCATTGTTGACAGCTGCATGGAGTATGAGCATCACCCATACACTCCCTAATGAATAATTAATGCATAACAGTACAAACTAATGCTTAAAAATAAAAACAAAAATGTTTAATTATTACTAATAGCAGCTTTCAAAACATACCAACAAAAATAATGGCCTCTGCCACARTCAACAGAACGAGCAATCTTAGAATTAGGCTTTGGTTTTCTAGAGATTGGTAGGCGAACAGCAAGTCCACAATTTGGAACAGGACACCATTTAATGGACCGGTTACTTTCAACAAAAGACTAAAATATATTTTGAGTTGAATTTTATAAATTTTATAAATTAAAATAATGAATACATATTTCTATAAGCCCTAATTACTTCAATATTAAGATCAAAATATCTCCGAGCCATTTCAGGACTAACAACATTTTCAATAAGTTCAGTTGGAACTAAAATATGGCAGTGTAAAGCTGGGCAAAAAATGTTGCTAGATTCTTTTCTTTTAATTTTGTAAGTTAAGTATTGTTTCCAACATGAATTACAAAATTTATGTTCACAACACAATTTAATTGAACAATCAGATAATGGCAGTTCATTCAAGCAAATATCACACTGAAAAATATATAATCATTTGTAAATAATTTAAATATTAACCAAGCATTTAAAGTAAATAGGATTTTCAGTAAATTTAAATTAWCATAGTACACTAAACATTGTTAATCAGAAGTAGAAACATGTTTAAAAAGTTATGTATTTGAAAGTCATATATCTTATTCATAAAGTATTAATTAAAGTAAATGGAATATATATRATCTACACACATACTACTATTTTTCAGAGAGCAGGTTCATGAAAAAAATTAACTTGAATTAGTTAAGACAGTAATGAATTCAACATAATGAATCGGAGGGG